TACAAATTAAAGAAAGTCATATAGTTTCAAACAAAAAAAAAAGAAACTTTTTATAATCAAAAAATAAAAAAAGAGAATGTATACGCTAAAGTATGAAGAAAACTTGATTAGTAAGATACAACTAACTGCTATATCATATAAATAAAATAGACCATTTTTTTTTTAAAAAGAAAATTTCACATAACATTACTAAGACGCGACAGTGAAAACTGTGTTATATATGAAAGTGAGTTTTTTTTTTCTTTTTTTTTTTTTTGGTTACTCTGCAAATTCTAAAATATATAAAAAAAAAATCTCGTAAACACAAGTCAAAATATTATTACCAAGGAAAAACAAAAGTGGGCTACGTACTATTATCTCAAGTGTGCACGTGCGGTGTAGTTCTTGGGAATCCCATGTGTATGTTTCTTTCTTTCTTTCTTTCTTTCTTTCGGGGGTTCAATTATATGAGAAAAGATGGTCATGATAATTCACATGACAATGAGATCTAGTGGTCCATGAATCTCTTTCTTCTTTACGATATACATATGGAACTATTAAATATTGTATTCTTCTCCAAATCTTCGAAAAAGGTACTGCCTTTGTAGTTTGTGGAGAACGTAAATACCATATGCAATTGTGGTCCACGATTCCTCATGATCATCGTTTTGATTTAAGTACTCCATTAAAAAAAAAAAAAAAAAAAAAAAACAAGAATGGTTGTTGCAAACGACGTTCGTTTCTTCTCTTATCAACCTTAAAATATAAAGTACGTAGTTCTTAGTTCTCACTAACATGATTTTAAACGTTAGCTAGCTTCCATTAATATCATATCAAAATTAAACATATATACATAAAATAAATAGTATTTCAAATTTGACCGCGGTTAAAATTCACAGAAATTTACGCGTATTTTTTTTTTTTTTTTATCTTACCACACTATAAAAAGCTCAAAAGTAAGTTTTATTATTATTATTATTATTATTATTATTTTAGTCCTTTACCTCTTCTCAGTGGATCGATTAAAGCGCAGACAAACCAAATAAATAAAAACTTAATGCATTTGAAGTCAACAAAATGTAGTAGTAGGCCAACGACACGTGTTCTTAACAACACCATAATTAGTGAAAGAAGATCTTTCCACATTTTGACGCCTTTTTATCATCATTCGTTAAACCAATATTTGGTAAGAGCAATACTATTATCTCATGATATTATTGTTAATTTAGTCAGCGGAAAAAGTATTGCACAACCACAATGTAAAGTAGTGCAGTTAGAGAAGGTTGTTGTCCGTTGATACTTATAATTTAACCTTTACAATCAAAGTCAAAATGGAAAAGAAAATTAAAAAAAATAAAAAAATGAACGTGCCCGTTTAATTAAGATAGCTTGATCAAGTCACTTGACCATGAGTCATTTTCATTAGATACCGCGAAAAAGATCAAAGAAATTTTTATAATAATGGACCTGTAAATGCACATAGCACGATTAACCATAGGCCACGTTAAAATCAAAAGTGCAACATCTCATTAGAAAGTTATTTTCCCAAAAGGGGATATCAACATCTTATCAAGATTAATGATGCCCTAAAGAAGAATTAGCCGACCAAAGCGTTTGAGATTATTATTTTTTTCTCTTTAATAATTAAAAGTTTTCGCATGTGTTGCTTTGTGATTGGCTAATGAGGCCGCGTAAAAATTATTGTAGTCGACAAGCTCCATAATCATCGCCTAAAATATTATTTATTATTTTTCTCATCTTTGGAATTATGGAAATTCTAGACACGACCATATCATTGAATTGAGAGATCATGATATTGTTGAGTGAAATAGCTTTTTATGCTTTTAAAGCGAATTCGTCCATATAAAAGCATATGGAACTAAGAAAATGCTATACATGATCTCGTGCATGTCTCTTGGCTTTTGCATTGCTTTTAGTTTTGAGCAATAAAAGTCAAAAAGGAATTTTTGCTTGTTGGTGGCTTAGACAGAGGCTTTTGGATGAGTTTGGATTGACGATGATCTGTATTAATAAAATGAAAAAAAAAAAATGAAAAAAAAATGGATAATATATTATTATACATTAAAATGTCTCGAGTGTCTAAATAGCATCGCGCGGTCTATCTTTATTTAATTTCTCGACAAAAGTTTGGCTTTTTCCTGTTTTTACTGAAGCTTTGGCTTTCTTCCATGTTGTCTTTTATATTGTTCTTGCTATACATAATTACATTATATCGTTCCAACTGTGCCTAGTCATGGTCTTTGACTCTTTTCTCTCTCTTTCTTTCATAAAAATCCCAATGATTAAAGAAAGCAATAATTAATTACTTTGGATATTATATTATATCTTAAAGAGACTTTAGATTACTCTCATATACTTAAGTTATAGGAAAGAAAAAAAGATTGTACGTTTTTATGGTGCAATTCTAAGCCTCATGATCCCTTCGTAATTTGACAAGTTCTTGTATTTTTTTGAGTAAAACAAGAGATAATTAAGATTACTTTCAGTTTTTGCGAGAAACGCACTATATATGCACAATATTTAGATTTTAGCTCCGACAAGAGAATATTATTTGCTTAAAATCTTCAAAGTTATAAACCCAACAGAGATTTTTATGCTAATAGATTTGTTAAAAGCTGAGATTTCAAGGACAAAACCACTGTAATCATGACAGTGTTTAACTTGGCAATTAAACTTTGCCATTAAAAATGATTAATCATAAATACTAATAGAGACCACTTAAAGATTGCAAAATACGCAGTCCGCGACAATTTCTAATAAGGGGCACGACTGCATGATCAGTCCATATGTTGCTTGTTTATCTCTACTGTATTACTAGCAAAATACGACAAGCTGTTTTGTCGTTTGAGTGCTTTAATTTGTACTACATGCCTTTTTACAGCTTTGGTTTCCTGTATGACTTTATGCTACTTGTCGTTTTTGTACTCTTTGCTTTATTGTAAACGACTCCTTTGTTTGGTGTCGTTTTTGTGCAGCATAATAGCCCGTTTGATTATATTGAGAACATCCTACTTGGATATTGTATTGTTGAGAAACAAAGTGCCTCCTTCTTCCTTCCGACATGGTTTTGGCTTAATCAAGCTTCTTGCTGCGTAAAACAATTAATAGTTTATTCATGTGATGAATCTATGTACATATATACACACACACACACACATATATATATATATATACACACACACACACACACACACATATAAGTGATAGAATAAAAAGTATATCTCTATATTTTATGACATTGGAGGAGTGTGCTTTATGCATGGACGCCGAAAGCCAGCTAATTAATTGCAAGATTAGCAATGAAGTGTTGCTAGTCAAAAGAAGCCAAGATTCTCTTAACCATTTTGGGCCAAAGAAATGGTTTTTCTAAGGCATATTGGAAGACAAAGATGGAGCAGCCATCAATTTGGAGGTGTTTTATTAGTGGAGTGATCCTAATCAAATACACGGACAAAAATTCGGATTATCTTTTTACCTACCCTTTCTAAAAGGATATAATTTTTTAGTTAATAGAGAATATTGTCACCTTAATTTCAGATACATTTAGAGAACTTTCTCTTCTTTTTAGTAATGGTTTTAAAAAAATGGTATATTTTTTTTTTCTCTCCTTATCTCATTGGTTACTACTGGCGTTGTTGAAGTCACTTTATATGAGAATTGGCGGCCGGTCATTAGTCATTTGCCCTTAAAATTTATAGACTATCGTGACAAAATTGTTATCATGATAGATCTTTTGACCCCAAAAAAAAAAAAAAAGAACTGCAACTGATAATCAAATGCAAATTATAAATTAGAGAACTTTTTTTTGTTGTATAAAATACGATGAGCATTTTACAAATATTAGCCATTTGTTATATATGTATTAATGAATGTATATGTTTTATGAAGGTGAAGTTAAAGTATAACATTTTTTTTTGAAATATTTTAGGAATATTTAAATTTAATTATATTAAAGATGTTCACGCTTATATAACAAAGTGTAAAAATAACATGGTAATTATTTTAATAATATTAATGTTTTCTATTTGTAAAATATTTTAAAGAATAAAAAGGATAAATAGCATATTTTTAAAATGTTTTGAAGTAAATAATATATTCTTAAAATGATTGAAGTAAATAACATATTTATTGATCAATATTACTGGGAAAATTATAGTAAATAGCAGGTTTATGAAACTAAATTAAGTAAATAATAAATTTTAAAACTATTTAAAATAAATAGAAGTTACTATATAAATGATTCATTTACGATAAAAAAAATATACGTGATAAATTTTTTTTATTTATGTGGAAAAAAATCTTTTTACTAGTCATAAAAAGAAAATTTAAGTCCATTAAAAAAAACTTAAGTGTAAAAAATCTTTTTTTCTAATCGTAAATATAATATTTACACAGTAAATGCTATTTAATTTAAATAATTTTAAATTTTACTATTTACTATAATTATTTTCTATGAATCTACTATTTACATCATTCTCTCATATTATTTACGTGTAAATACTCAAGAGAAAATGAGAGGGACAATCAGACACACAACCATACGGGTTATAATTCTTAGAACTTTGAAGGGGAATTTTTAAAAATGTCATCGATAAAGTAACACTATTTTATTTCTGTTAGTTAAATTTATTTTATGCTACTAATAACCTGCATGTTATCTTTTTATAACTTGTAAGTTATCTTTTCAAATCTATAGGTTATTTTTCGTAATCTGTAAGTTATTTTCGTAACCTACAAGTTATCATTTTATATCTAACAGATTATCACTATGTACTCTACAGATTATTTTTTATAATGACACCAAAAATTTTGTGCAGTGGCTTGAAAAAGAAATAGTTAAACTTGAAATTCTCTCTTCTTACAAAACTAAGCCCGTTAAATAATTTGGGCTTCGTGAAGATCAAATCCATTAACAGGCCATTTGGTTAAAATGAGCCCACTATTCCGGTCTATCCATGAAATTTACGACGACGATAAGCGTTTGGTACGGATAACGGGGACAAACGGATAAAAATGTCCACTACTCATGTGCTTTCTCTTCCGTTGTCGTCCGGTTCGCCGACTTCGCGGGCTCGCCGGTCCGTTCTCCGGCCGGTTCGGTGCTCTTCAGAACGACAGGCTCTCTTTAACCGCATTGCTCCTGTTTACGATAACGTCTCTGCTTAACACAAAAATTTTGCATTATTTCTTCTTTAAGCTACGCTAAGTTCCCTCTTTTTCATACTAAAGTTAAAAGTTTGTAATTTTTCAGCTGAATGATTTGTTGAGCTTGGGTCAGCACCGGATATGGAAAAGAATGGCAGTTTCATGGAGTGGGTATGTAGTTTTTTTTTTTATTTTTTCATTATTTGTTTTTAAATTTTTTTAATTGATTGATATTAATGTGCTTTATTACGAAATTATGGGACAGAGCAAAAATTGGAGACTGCGTGTTGGATTTGTGTTGCGGAAGTGGAGATTTGGCGTTTCTCTTGTCCGAGAAAGTTGGATCCGACGGCAATGTTTGTTCTTTATAATTCATATTGGTCAAAAATATTTCTGTCAACTCTTTAGAACTCAGTGATGAAACTCGTAGGGTGTTTGGTAGGAGGATTTCGTGCATGCCATGGTTTGAATCATAATTGTAACTTGATACAATATTTTCTCTTATAAAAAATAACTGAAAGTGGTTTCTGATTCATAAATTCGTAAACCAAACGTCTACATAGAGTTTTCAGAGTTTCTTTTTTTCTTTTTTTTTGGAATTGATCACAAAAATTATGAACTTCTGAATCGTGATTTCATCGTCGCAATTTGCAGGTGACTGGTCTAGATTTCTCGAAGGAGCAGTTGTCAATTGCTGCATCACGGCAGCAATTGCTCTCCAAGAAATGTTACAAGAATATTGAGTGAGCACTGGTAAATCTTGTTTGGTTAATCAATTGTGATCTTCTAATCATGGCTATAATTATTCCGAGAGGGTCCATACTATTTTACCATATATGTCATTTAATCAATTATCGTACCCCAGATTAGAAATGGCAATGCCATAATTGGCAATTTGGCGCTGTTTTTGAAGGTGGGTCGAAGGTGATGCGCTTAACTTGCCATTTCCTAATGGTTACTTTGATGCCATCACTATGGGGTATGGGCTGCGAAATGTAGTAGATAAGCGTAAAGCGTTGCAAGAGATCTATAGAGTCCTCAAAGCGGGTACTTTGACGTCTACCTCTCTTGAAAGCTATAAGATAGCAAAATTTGTGTGGTTTTCAAGTGGTAACTTTTTTGAGTTTCTTAGACATTCTTAAATTTTCAGGTTCTAGAGTATCCATTCTCGATTTCAATAAGAGCTCCCAACCGGTTACTACTTTTATTCAGGTATTTTCGTATAGGATATTCTGGACTCTGTTTTGTTCTGTACAATATTGTTGAGATCGCTCGCTACGTTTTTCATGGAAAAGGAAAAAACATGGTGCTATTGTTTGCTTGCATCGGTGCCTGATGTGGAATCTGAACTCTGCTTTTAAATACTTCAATGTCATTCCACGACTATTCTGCATCTGTTGCAATCACAAGATATTGACGAGTTTCGGTCGTATTTGTTTTCGCTAGGATTGGATGATTGACAATGTTGTTGTCCCAGTTGCAACTAGCTATGGCCTTCAAGAGGAGTACATATATTTGAAAAGCTCCATCAGGGAATTTTTAACAGGTTTTGTTTTCTCTTTAGAACTCATCTCTCGTCATCATGTTTTTCTGTTCGGATTGGTCGAGAGTGCGAGGGTGTCTTCTAGAACCCTCTTCTAGAATTCTGTTGTCTGATTTTTCCATTCAAAACGTATGTACCAGAGTAGGAATGTATGTACCAGAAAGCTTTTGTTTTCTTTTTACCTCCTGCATATGGTTTGAGTTGGTTAATTAGAATGTTGTTTCTATGTACAGGTAAGGAATTGGAGAATCTCGCCTTGGAAATAGGTTTCTCTAAAGGGAGACATTACGAGATTGGTGGAGGCCTAATGGGAAACTTAGTAGCCATCCGTTAAGTTGATGTTTTCAGTTGTAACTCTTTTTTGGAGGGAAAAACATATTATATTATGCAAAGGAAGGAAAGACCTTCAGCTTGTTTTAGTGTGTTGTTCATTAACTTGTGCGAAACAAGACTAGCACATTAGTGGAAAATAACTGGGAAAAATCAAATCTCAGTTTGGCCGCCATTTCTTGTCTTTTACTATCCTCTCTATTCTTCCTTAAGAAACTAAAACTTGGAAGTATATACTTCAGAACAAACTACAATTTCTAAGCTTTCTAACAAATAGAACGTTAATAAATCAGTCCAATACAGTACATTCTTACAGGGTTATGTTACATAACTTGTGTACTCCCCCACAATCTATTTGGAACTTGGACGCTGGTTTGGCTTCCCTCGTAAACTTATCTACATATGCTTGGAAGCCCCCATTGCACTTTATTCACAAATTCCTCAAAACTCTTCCCATCACAAGATGGATGCGAAACGCCTGCAAGAGGCCAAAGCAGGACCATGCTTCATTTCTGTGATTCAAAATCGCAGGACGATAAAGTCCTGTCTTTCAGTTCTTGCCTTTCACCGGGGATAGAAAGAACTGTGGGTGAAATTGGCAACAGAACCGGCATCATCTCCGTTGAGGGGGTAAGATGGGTCCTCGCAGGTGTCGTTGAATTCCATGGTCTTTTCGTCTATGAAAGGTGGACTGGTGGGTGCAGGAAGTTGCTGCTCCTTCTTTGTTAGCATCTGCAGCGCCTTTGACATTGTTGGTCTCAACGACCCAATCTCTTGTGTGCAAAGAAGTCCTATATGCACCACTCTTGATATCTGGTTCTTTATTTGGTTTTGACTGTCTCTGTAGTTGTGCAACATGAGATTTGGATCATATAGTTCCTCAGCTTTGCCCGATTGAAAATGCTTCCATGTCTGTTTAGCACACGAGACAACAGCGAAAATATAGAAAAAGATGTTGAGTGAGTCTTTCATATCTAAGATACTTTTTATAGTTAAAAAATCCCCAAAAAAAAAAAAAACAAAACAAAAAGACCAATTTCCATGAAACTTACAAGTGTGACTAGGCTGTCTGTATATTCTGAAGTTTTGCTTCTGTTGTTCTGCCTTCCAGTAACAATCTCTAATAATAGCACACCAAAGCTATAAACGTCTACTTTCTCTGTTAATTGGCCATGAGCTAGGTACTCGGGAGCCATATATCCCCTGCAAATCCAGCGAAGGAAATTAGAGTAAGGACCAAAATTAGGTTCTATTCAAGAAATCAAATTTGTGATCTTCCATCAAAACAGCGAAAATCAACTAGAAAACAGATACTTACAATGTCCCTGCAATGGCAGTGCTGATATGACTCTTGTCCTCTTCGAACGACCTGGCCAACCCGAAATCAGCAATTTTTGCACGAAGCCTTGAATCCAACAGGATGTTGCTGGTCTTGATGTCCCTGTGAATGATCCTGATTTTGGAGTTCTCATGAAGGTAAACTAGACCTTCTGCAGTGCCAATAATGATCTCATATCTCTTCTCCCAGTTCAGTCCTTTACCTCTAGTTTGATCTGCCATGTATAGAATTGAAAGAAAATCCGAATCTAAGACCATTATATCATTAACAGTAATGGATTCATTTCCAAGTTTAAGATCATTCTTCTCATATATTTGTCATAGTAAATTTGAAGCAGTACCAAAGATGAAGCGGTCAAGACTCTTGTTTGGGAGGTATTCGTAGACAAGAAGGCTTTCAGGGCCTGAACAGCTGCAACCAAGCAGCCTAACCAAGTTTTTGTGCTCCACACTGCTTATAATGTTGACTTCATTGTAAAAGTCTGCTACTCTATGTTTGTTGTTGAAGAAAAGCCTCTTCACAGCAATCTCTCTTCCATCGGGTAGAACTCCCTGTGGTGGAGAAACTCTAATTAATATCTCACAAATATATGATCAAAATAATGGAAATAGTTTTTTTTTTTTAATTATTATTTTAAAACTTCACCATGATATATATGTAGGCTTTTGTTGGAGGACCGTAATTTCAACTTAACATACGAAGTGAGAAATGTGACATACATGACACTGACATTGAAAAGGTGCAACACTGAAATTTAAGATATGTTCTTTTGCACCAAAACTCAAAAATATTTAGACTCAAGTTACAACTTTATTCAAACTCATGTTTACAAAATTTGAGTTTGAACTTGAGTTTAGAGCTAAAATATGAGTTCAAGCTCCCCCTTTAAATCAAGTTCTTAAACTCAAACTCAAGTTAATAAATAATATTTTTTCTATTTTTAAAAACGTCATAACTTTTTCATTTTAATTCCGATTGAGATGATTCTTTTTTCTATGCATTCACAATGAAGAGACGAACAAAATCTCACCCATATACCCTATTAAAATTTTCCATCATTATTAAGTTTTTATTAAAATACTATCTAAATATAAACTTAAATTTTGACCCACCCAAACACAAAAACTCAAATAGATTCTCAATTTAAACCATAACTCAAATGTGCACATTCAAACACAAATTCAAATTAAATTCCCAACGCAAACCATACTCAAATACACCTTAACTCAAATTAAGATCTGAACTCAAGTCACCCTAACTCAAAAAGTGCATAAGAACAAGCCTAGTTATCCAACACTATCATTACACCTCCACAACGTCAGTGTATATATGGTGTGTCTATACACACACATACACATAAACATCCATATATACATATATATATATATATATAGAGAGAGAGAGAGAGAGAGAGAGAGAGAGAGAGAGTGAGAGATGGAACTATACAAGAATTAGTAAGGGGAACAAACAATACAAAGGGAGAGAAGATACCTTATAAACTGATCCAAAACCTCCTTGGCCAAGTTTGTTGGAGTCGTCAAAAGATCCAGTAGCCTTCTCTAGCGTAGCGTACTTGAAATTCAAGCTACTGTCATTCAGGGTCTTCACCATTTTCTTTGCAACATCTGAACCTGAAACGTTAAAGATCATGAAGCCTAGTTTTAGAATTAAATCAAGCTTTGGTGTTTGATTTTTACACGTCGTTTTGTTTCTTAAGCTGCGGCACATGTTAACGAAAGCGTAAAATGTGAATGGCACGTCGTTGCTGCAGATAAACGACAGCAAATTCTGAAGTAAAGAAGCCGTGCCGTTATTTATCACTAAAACGACATCGTAATTACGAACGAAACATATACGCCGTTTTGCAAAATAAATGACACCAAAATTGTAAACATAAACTACACCTTTTGTTTTAGTATTTAAACCCTGAACGACAGAAAGCTTAAAGATTCAAACGACACATGTTGTTTAGGTAAAAAAACAGCCGTTTGAACCATACATAAAACCACATGTCGCAAAAAGAAACATATTTAAACTAAAATACCTGTCGTTTTTCTACCTGGAGGAAGCAAACTTCTAAACAACTTTCCCGTTCATTTCGCCGATTCGAGTTTAGAATTCGAGTTTTGCTACAGTAAAAAACTCTCAGAAACAATTACATCTAACTTTTTTGTTACAGTAAAAAGCTCTCACATAAAATCACATTTCAACTCGAATTAAAAACTCGAATCAACGAACTAAACGGGTAAGTGCAATTAAATTATACATCGTGAACGACATGTGGTTTTTTAAAACGACCATAAAGTTTTAATTAAAAAAAAAAAAGAAAGAAAAACATGTTATTCCGTTTGACATGAGAATCATCCTGTTGTCTTCCACTTAAATCAGAAGGAAAGACGACATTTACGGGCAACGTTTATTTTTTAAGGAAAAAAAAGAAGAAAGAATAAATGCTATCTCCTAACATTTTCTACTAACTTCAACCCAACATTTCACATTATTTTCTTGTTCTTTTTAGAAGTAATTTATCATATCTTACCTCTTCGTTTCTTTTGTATGTATCTCCTCTTCCATATGTGATGTCCAATAGCCACTCCAACTACCAAAACGACAACGGAACTGACAACCGAGACTACAATCACTACCCAGCTTGCTGCAAAAAAAAAGAAAAAAGAAAAAATCAGATCAAGTTTATTGCCATCAACTATAAATTTCCTAATGCTAAAACCTTTATCTCAAACGACAATCCATCTTCATCTATCAATTGCACTTGAATCATCAATCAAACAAAAAAAGACACATAAATTTCTCACCTCTTGAACTCCCACTCCCAGCTTCCTTATTGAGAAAATCCCTGTCCGAGTACCTCATAAAGCAGCCAGTATTCAATGCCCTTCCTTCTGACCAAGGCAAACACTTGACTATGGACCTAGAAGCATTATCCAAACACTTACTACAAGAGCTTTGGTTCAAACTCCTCCAACAATCAGCCAACACATAAGCAGTCTCATTACGAACAGCCACCTTAGCCTTGGCATACCCTCTAGTAATGCTTGGCGCGCCCGCCGCCGCCACCGCCTGCGCCACGGCCTGCCTTGCCGACTCCCCGAAAACCGAACCCTTCCTAGTTGCATTCCCACACACTGTCATGTCCTCAGGCCCCTTGTACTCCTCATAGAAGCTGTAGTTCCCCGCCCTCATGAAGCAGCCATCGAGGAAAATGCGTCCGCTATTGTAAGGGAAGCATTGCGGGAGCACGGTCCGCGCCTCGGCGTAGCACAGCACGCAGTCTAGGAGCGAGAGATCGCCGTAGCACTGCGCTAGGCCGTAGTTGGCGTCGGGGCCGGTACCAACCAAGGCCTGTCCGAAGCCGTGTGTCCGCATTTGCTCGCTGATTTTCTCCATCACGGCGACAAAATTCTGGACGAAGATCGTGGTGTTGTGTTCGCGGACAGTCCCGCATGTGATATTGACGGTTTGAGCTCTTGGATCGGCCCAGATTGTTTGCAGTAGTAGCAGAGTGTTGAGGAGTAGTATTGTATGGAGAAGAAGCGACGGGATAGTCATATTTTTCCTCATCGTCATCTGTAAAAGATAACGCTAAGACTACAAGAAAAGAAAGAAACTTTAAATCAAATATTCCATTGCTTTTGCAAATAGTTGTCTTGGCAATAAATCATAGCTTTTACTTTTTTTTTGGGCAACATTCAAGTGAAAAAATGTTAAAAGTTGCTTTTAATAGCGTTCATATTTAAGCACCGGCTTATGGTGTTTTAGAGCATAAAACTAGAGAAGTTGTTGAAACTTTGACAGCCCAAAGTCAGAGAAAGGGAGTATTAGGAAGCAAAAGATAATGATTTTTTGGACAATATCAATCGAAATCAAACGACAAAAAGAATCGTAAAAATAAATAAAAAATAAAAAGGTTTCTTCTGATCCAAACACGAGCTTTCAACAGCCAAACGACACCAACATAACTGATAACCACCTCATATCCGTAATTAGGTGGGAATTAAAGCTGTTTTGCTTGGCTTGTCACCATATCAATTGTTCATGGTGTCCAGAAAAACCGCAACCCAAACAGTAGGAGGCCCCACCACGAGCTCTAAATCAATGCACGTGAAGACCCACATTAATATTTCTAGAATACTTCATAAAAAAAAATTCCAATAAATACTCCTTTCCTTACGAGTAAAAGATTTAAGCGTTATTCATTTTTAACTCATTTTATTATTACAGTATTTTTTTTATAAAAATTTAAATTTATTATTTTTATTAAGTATTTTTTTCACATATATAACTCTAAATCATAACTTAAATTATAACTTAAATTATAAAATGTGCATACCCTTTTACTCTTAAAGCATATTTATTTTATGCGTTTAAATTCATAATTTTTATTTTGTTATAATATTTTTTTTTTATAAAAAATTTAAATTTTAAATGTGAAAATTAAGAATCAGTTATTTGAATACATGAACCCAATGGACCCTTCTATACTGTAAATTTCTATCTCAACTTTTTCTAATGTTATTAAGAATTTTCTCTGGTAGGAATTTTTTATTGGTAGAATAAGTTATTAACCTTTAAATATAATTAAAATCAAATTAAATTAAAAAAATATATATAATAGATAATTTTTAATACGTATCTAATTATTAAAAATAAAAAATACTGCTAGTTCATGTTTTACGAACCTATTAAAAAAACTTTCATATTATTAACATAAAACAGTCAGAAATGTTTTGATATAAACACTGAATTCTAAGAACACAGCCAGAATTTTTTTTAATACAAAGAAGGTAGAATTCTAAGAGAAAGATAAGTTATTAGGACATATTTCTTAATTATCTTTGTTTAAAAAAAAAAAAATTAAGACTGTTCTAGAAAGTAGAAACCAGGCGTCGGCATTGAATTATTGACTTTTCACCAACACGAATTACCGTATATACATATGATGCACTAAAGTGATTTATACCAAACCCAGCATCAAACGGCTCCAAATCCTTGACTAAAGTTCAGATAAAAAAAAAATCCTCGACTAAAGTGAAGAAAATGGGAATTTTGGTATGTGAAACTGAAGAGAAAATTGCATTTCTGGAAAATTCTAGCTACCTGTGAAGTGAAACTGAAACCTGGGTTTTCCTGGTTTCTTGTCAAGAGGTTCTAAATGAATGACTTATCGTTTACATCTTCTCTTGATGGAGAAAAGGTATTTACTCATCATAAAATAAAATTTCCTTTCATTGATTGATAAACACAGAAAAATACAGATAATTGGATACAGAAAATTTGTTATCTTTCTTAGTTTTTTTTTTTAAACCAAAAATCTGTATATAATAATCAAATCATGCAAATTCAATCCTATGTATAAGATCAGAAAACGTTAGCTTTCATGGATCAGAAAATCAAAGCAGAGACTGGATAAGAATTCGTACCTGTTTTTTTCTTTTTTGCAAATGGGATTGAGAGAGAGAGCCGAGTGAGACGATAAATCTTCTTTGGCTTCTGTTCTGCCAATAAAAGCAGCTCAAAAACTGAATATTAGAGTTTAGAAAAGATGTATGTCAAAAAGCTGGTTTCTTTTCTGAAGTCAAATTGGGCGTGGTATTTTCTTCTGTCTTCAATCTGAAGCTTCTTTTGACTGCTTAACGCGGTTCTTCATTTCTGCCAAAAAAGTCAAAACGCCGCTAATTTCAAGTCACAACTTACAGCAACTTTGCGTGCCAATAGAAATATACAATTTCCTTTTTTTTTTTTTGTCGTTTTCTTTTTCCAAGTTTTATTTTTCCTACTCTCTTTCATCTATTTTCCCCTCTAGTTTGAGTTAAGAATTTAAGAATTTAAATTAAAATATAAATTTATGTGAAAAAAATAATAAAAAAAATTGACTTGGTAATCTCATGTGGTAGGGTTCATTTTACCAAAAATAAGTCTCCTTTTTTTTTTCCTCTTTTTTTTTGGGTGCAAGAAATGGCAACAACAAGTTCCATATGAACGGAATGTGATTGATGGATCACAGTTCACGTCATTAATGATAATCATAATGAATACAACATTCCAAAGAATATATGATTGCTGAATTGAAGATGTCCATAAATATTTTTAGCGCGGAGTAAAGAAAAAGAAAACAAAGTGGAAAGTAACCTTACAAGTGCGCATATAGATACTCCTTTATTTTATTTATTTATTTTTTTTTTTTCATTTTTAGTTTTCAGTAAACAGAAGACTGAGAAGACATATTACTTGAGACCGCTGACTATTGAAGAATTTTATATTTGTGCCACTGACCTTCAATATATTAGGTCTTTTAAGTGAATCAAGAGGCATAAACTATTAGGTCTCATTTATTTCGCTGATTTAAGTTTAAAATTCAAGTTTTGTTACAGTAAAAAGCTTTCAGAAATAGTCACATTTAACTTTGTTGCTACAGTAAAAAACTCTCACATAACATCACATCTCAATTCGAATTAAAAACTTAAATTAGCAAGCCGAACGGACCCTTAGATTTCATGTCATGTAAATTTTTTCAAAAAAAATAATAATCATACTTCAACTTGAGAATGCAGTATTCTTTAAACACTTTGGAATTTAGACTATTCCGTGCTCTAACATCACCATCGAAAATTTTCTTTTTTCCTGAAAATCAGCAGTTTAAATATTTTAATATGCTAGAAGGTTCTTTTTTTTCCCCCTTTTCTTTTGCCAAATTCTTTATGAAAATTTAACATCTATCGTGTTCTTAGTGTAATGAGGTTGAAACAGGAAATCCCTCCAACCAAAAAAGTTTACTTAAATATTATGCGATTTATTATTATTTATGGTACTTTAATTGGCATATAATATTTAGCCCCATATTTTTTGCATTTACGAGTTTAAGTATCCAAAATCTGTTCAAAATCTTATCTCTCTCTTTTTATCTTTTAATCTAGACTTTTATGCGTTTTAAAGTCAAGCACATGCATTGAAGATAATTTAAGATAAATAAACTAGAAAAATTATCACCATCCATTGGAAAAGTTGATTTATTACCAAATACCAATTTATAGAAAGAAAATTTTGGGGTCAAGAAATGTCGTTTGTTTGTTTCGTGTAGGCTTCCAAGAAGCTAACTCATCAATGACTAATTTTGGCACTTCTTTACTTGATTTAATACCAATTTATTGAAAGAAATTTATGAGGTCAGGAAATGTTGTTTTGTCTGTCTTGTGTAGGCTTCCAAGAAGCTAACTAATCAAAATCTTGGCAATATTTTTGTCAACCTGAAGTAGGTAGGAATATGAAGTAGAATATAGCTGCTTTCAGCAACTGAGGTCTATTTGATCAAATTATTTTAAAACCTTAGAAGTATGCAAATAAAACATAAATAATTAGAAGTATGAATGGAATAAAATATGATGTTATGACGCTATTTCATTATAGTAAAATGGATTTACATGTTCACGCGGGTATACAAAACCCATTGGTACAAAACGTTTTGCTTATACAAGCCTATTACAAAAAAAAATACTTGCTTTATAAGTAACCTACAGAGGGAGAAAAAAAGGAAAATAGGTTTACTATTCTGACTCCCATTTTGTCCAGTGTCCACTGAAGTAACTAGGAAATAGGAACACTTTCTAAGACCTAGTAAAGTCATTTGAATCGGCTCAGCTCCGAATGTCATCTCAAGAAGAAGAAACGGGTAAGAAAATCCTGAGAAATTGGAGTTCAAGTTTGAATGTGCAGTTCTGGCGATCGGATTCTAGCGTGTGAGTTTACAATGATGGAAGGAATATACAAGGTGGTTAAGGAGAAAAGTGTTCATCTGGGACCAATCCAGCTTTCTGTCGTGTTATTCCCTGAAGACTGAGTGTTAGAGTCCGGCTGAGATTTGTATTCTTTGGATCTACTAAGAACACCCCGGCCTATTTCTGTACTAGCAGAATTTATAAACGGTGGTTGTGTTGGCTGAGGAATTTCATGACTTTCAGTAAGCATCTTCACGACGCTTGACATAGATGGCCGCAGTTCTGCAGAGGCCTGTACGCAAACTAGCCCAATTTGGAGTAGCCGAGAAGCCTCTTCACTGTTGAAGTTACCTTCTAGGCCCGGATCAACTGCGTCACTTAGCTTACCAGTTCCGTAAAGGTTCCAAACCTTCATCACATGTAAGAAAGATGGGGCAAAAAGGTCAAGATTAAGTAAGTTTCACAACCTGATATTGAAAGTGGTGCTCTATTTATTCAAAGAAGAAGAAGAGGAAGAAGAAGATGACTTGTTGAAAGAAAGGACTCACCATCTGTAGGACAGAGTATGAAGTTTGAGTAAAGGAATTGTTTTTTCTCCCGCAAATAATTTCAATGACAAGAACTCCAAAACTGTAAATGTCTGCCTTCTCAGACAGCTTCCCGCGAACAATATACTCTGGAGCCATGTAACCTCTATGAAAATGAATAGTGATGATCAATGGAAATACTATTATGTTCTACTTAGTAAATATTGTGCTGAATCATCACCAAGTAGGTGTTGAACTTACAATGTCCCTGCAATGGCAGTGCTGATGTGAGTTTTGTCTTCTGGAAATAATCTAGCAAGTCCAAAGTCAGCAATTTTCGGTGCGTAATCTTCATCAAGAAGAATATTGCTGAGTTTTATATCCCTGTGAATGATTCTCAAATTTGATTCCTCATGAAGATAAGCCAACCCCTCAGCTGTGCCCAATATGATTTTGTACCTTAACTCCCAACTCAGTTGCGGAGCATTCTTTTTACCTGAATTCACCAGAAGATAGAATTAACAAAATGCTCCTATTAAGAAACCATAATGGGTTGTTTGGTACATATACTCAAAACTCAAACCATGGTTATGCTACAGTGTTTTCCTCTCACAAAGAATTTGAATAAAAAAAATTCCCGTCAATAAGAATCAAAGCCCAAATCATGGTTCAAATACACTTTCCAAATGGGCCTTAAGCCACTTTTTTACGATGACTGTACCTCCAAACAAGTTGTCAAGAAGGCTTTGATTTGGCACATATTCATAAACAAGAAGGCTTTCAGGGCCGGTGATGCTACATCCCAACAGCTCCACAAGATTTTTGTGACAAATGCCGCTGATCAAATTCACTTCGGTAAAGAAATGATCCACCCATTGTCGTGTGTTGAAGAAAAGCCTTTTAATAGCAACAGTCTTCCCATCTGGCAGAACGCCCTATTTGAGAGAGAGATTAACCAACAAATTCTATGCATAAAAATCATATTTATCTTCAAACTCAACATGGTGCTGGAAAAAAAAAATGAAAATTTACTTTGTAAACCGAACCGGATCCTCCTTGTCCGAGCTTGTTGGAATCATGAAAATAATTGGTGGCCTTCTCTAGAACTTCATAGGAATAATTGAGTTTGGACTTGTTCACAGTGTCCAAAAGAGCACCTAGCCGCTTTTCCTCTGCAGAAAATTGAGCAGGTTTTAATGTACAATGCACGTAGTTAGAATATCCTAAAAATTGAAGAATTATCAAGTCCATGACTCCATGTTACCTCGCCTCTTTTTCAGTAGTCCTTTCCTTAAAAAGAAAGCAACCGCGGCCAAAGTCAGCAGAAGAGCAAAACCAGCAGATGTTACAGCCAAAATTATCGCTAAGGGACGATTTCCTTGAAAAAAAAAAGTTAGTTTTCTAACGTAATTAGGACTCAAAAGCAGAGAATTTAGCAAGGAATTCACGTAATCACGAGAATTGAATAGATTTTGGAATAATTAGAGGAAGGGGAAAAAAAAGCAATAAAGGAGTCTTGTATATGAACTTTAGTAATGAATCTTCATGAAGCGCCAATCAAAACATCAAAAGCTCACACTTTCCACGAATCAAATTCTATTGCAATCTTACTGTTCGTTCAAACTAGATTTGACGTTCCAAATTCCAATGCCACTTTTGGTTTCTTTGAAGATAAGTAACTAACTTCAAAACTTTCAACCATACAAAAGCTTTGCTGTTCCTCATATCATAAATCAGGAACATAAAGATGGAAACTTTTCTTTTGGTTCCAACCAAGAAAAAAGAAAAAGACTCACCACTATTTCCTTGACCAGAATCATCACTGGTGGAATTGTCATAAAACTTCTTCGTCGAATACCTCAAATAACACCCGGCATTCAAAAGCCTCCCTTCTTCCTTGGGAACGCAAGAACCAAGCTTTTTAACCGAACCAGCCAAACAGTATTCACAAGCAGACCCAGTAACGAACTCCCAACACTGAGCCAACCCATGAACGCTCACATTCCCCCGAGTCACCGACCCCACAAAGAACCCATCCCTCCTCGGCGCTTCAACGCTCAAATTCCTCACCAGCTCCGCAACATTATCCCGAAAAACCCTAGAATTCCCGGCGAAATCGGTGGGCCCACAGACGGTTCGATCCTCGATGCTGGAGCTCTGGTTGAAGAAATCGTGGTCGTCGTAGCGGAGGTAGCAGCCGTCGTAGAAGAGGCGGCCGGCGAGGGTGGCTTTTTGGAAGGGGAAGCAGCGGAGGATCTGGCTCTTGCACTGAGCGAAGCAGAGGTTGCAGTCCCGCTGGGAGAGGTCCTTCATGCACTCGCCGAAGGCGTAGACGGTGCCGTTGACGACGGCGGCGAATCTCTTCCGGGAGACTAATGGCGTGACGGCGTCCATGGCGGCGAGGTAGTTGGCGATGAAGGTTGCTCGCTGTGAGGAAGTTGAGGCTGTGGTGTTTGCGCATATGAGAGCGGCTTGTGTGGCGCGGGGATCGGAGAGAACGGAGTTTAGAAACGACGAGAGGAAGAAGAAGAAGAAGAAGAGGAATGTGGGAGACATTGGGATTGATGTGAAGTTCGAATTTTGATCAGAAGAAGAAGAAGAAGATGGATGTTGTAAGATTGAGAGGCATTCTCTTTCTGTAGTTCTGTCGTCTGCGTAATTGTTCGTTTGGGAGCTGAAAATGGTAAGAGAGTGGAAAAGTGGGGTCCATCAAATGTGAAAGTGATACGAGTGATGGGAACAGATAGGGATCTGGTGGGATGACGTGTACACGTTTAATCATCTTCTAAGCATGATGGAGCATGGAAGAAAAGAAAATTAAAAAAAAAAAAAAATATATATATATATATATATATATATATATATGGGGGGATAATAAATGAAAATAAGGGGACAAAATGAGAGAG